CTTTTTCGGTTTTCACGTAATAATACAATATAATATTATTACAACACCACCACAGCGCGTTCGGTTGTATTGTATTTTTTTTAAAAGAAATTCGGCCTTTTTCGAGAACACACACAATACGATAACAATTATTACAATGGACTTGCGCAATATTCTTTCTACCGTTCGAGAAATTCCGTCTCGCCGATTCCCCGTAGGTTTTCTTCTTATACCGAAAGAAAGGGCTTTCTACGGCAGCCCTCGGCGTGTGTGTGTGTGCATTTCCATAATATAATATAATATATTATACACCTATCGATACCTGTGCAGTCTCCCGCTGAGGGTTCGCCTCTCCGCCCCATCCCCCCTCGACCCCAAGGAACCCGACACAAATCTTCCTGTGCTACTTATATACATATATATATATATATATGTATATACATGTAGCTCGTCATCGCCGTACAGTCATGTTTTAGGACCAGTTTTCATATATATACATATATATTCAGTGTGTTATCTGCCAGTCGGAATCGTTGTTGGTACCTATATACACATATATATATATACATTTTTTTTTTGGTCTGACCTTGGCCGTCTCTCTCTCTCTCACTCTTTCTTTTGAAGAAGAAGAATGTGTATAATACATATTATTATAATTTATATTTTAAACGCATTATAATATATAATATGTACGGATATTTTCTTATTAGTAAGACACGCGTTGTGCACAAGTATACAGGATAATCGCGAGAAAACTATATAAAACATAAAGTTTACACGGTAACAAGGTATTGATGCGACCCGCTTACATTAAGATTAAGGTAATAATAATATGTAATTTTTAAATGGTATATAAATTCGAAGATTCTACGTTAAAAAGTCTAAGACCGAAAAATTCACTGACAAAGTAACAAAACAAAATAATGCCAAGAGAATAGAAATGCAAGGGAATCCAATATTAATCCATTTATAAATGCATATTTTTTTACATTGCTGTAGTTTACATATATTTTTATTAGTTAATACATTAAAAAAAATAGAGCTTGTAATAGTACCAAATATTTGCCAATATAAAATAATACAAATTATTAATTTGTCTATTACCTACTCAATTTTTTGGTTTATCCTTTTTTGTTGTCTGATAATATCAAGTTATCGGAGGTATATTTTCACTACATTCCGAGAAACGGTAAAACCCAGTTTTGATAAATACAAAGTTCATGAAATATTACTACATAATATACCTATTGCAATTCTAAAATGATATATTGGAGTTTAGTATATTTTTTTTGGTTTGGCTTTCATGGCAGTTTTTTTTAACTGTCCAAAGTAGGATTATTGGATTAATCACATTTTATACTTCTTATAATGCAATGGGTTCTGCAATAAACTGTCAAGTGTGGTAGACGTTTGGATTTATTGTTAAAAGTCTCGCTGATGTACCAAATCCTTTGAACGGTAAACGAAATGACATTATTTTTTTTTAGAGTGAGAGGAAAGGATACTAATGCGAGTAGTAACGAGGTGTCAGATGATTGAAAATAAACGTGGGGTTGTGCCACAAAACGACCGGAGAGCAATTATAACGTCCCTTTACCGTTTGTTTGGACTTATATTACCTTTGGTCGACTATACTACTGCTCCAACTGTGGATACTAGAATGGTAATGAATATTATGGCAAAATGTTATTGCAGTGTTGCGATATTTGTATAAGTACAGTTTTGCGGTATTGATTAATAACACTCGCGCGTTTTGTCAAAATTTATCGGCCAATGATTTTCCACTGTTTTCTCCCTAGCCTCCCCAACCCTTCTCACCAAACCCCCCCCCCACTCCAGCATTACTCTGGTTGTACTTGTCGACGAGTTTTCCAAAATATACAATACTCGTGCGGGAGAACAACAACACCGGGTATAAATCAAACACATCCGGCGCTCGTTTTCAAATCCTACGTACAATATAATATATTATTACATATAACTATATAATATATACATATATAGGTACCTATGTGTGTGTGTGTGTGCTGCTCTGGTAAAATACAAACGCGAAGAGAAGATTTCGTCGTACATATGTTACAACGCGGCCCAATAAATCCCATTGGTCTTTCTCCCCTTCACAACCCTTTACACCGCGGGCAGCAGACTTCAACCCGCGGCCCCACTGTGAATTTCGCTCTGTTCGCCTCCTTTCTGTGTGTGTGTGTGTATATATATATATATATATATATATACTTTATACATAACGCTCGTGCCCCGTACACGCTCAACGAGGATTTAAATTATTCAGCGTTTAATCAGGGACCACCTCCGTATGGCCTGTATATTATGCAGCGAACACCGCCGCACGGCAAGATTAATAACGCCAATAACTCCTTCTCGTCCCGACCGGATCATCCTAAACGGCGCAACTCCCACGCCAGATAACTTCCTGGGCCGCTAACCGGTGAAATATACGACCTGGCACAGCCGCCGTTGATCAACCGTGATCTATGGGACGGTTTGCACTTAAGCAGATAAATTTGCTTTTTCCCCCTATAAACTACCAGAATTACCATTTGTTACCGACGCGGTGGTCAGCTGCAAATTAAGTAAGTGAATATAGGTACATAAGACGTCGGTCGGGTAGCTTTGAGTATGTCTAACGTTAACGTGCCTTTTTCGGTGTATATTGAATCGCGCGCGCGTGTGTGTGTGCGTATAGAAGAAGTTCTTTTAAAGTGTTATTAAATAACGAGCGATAAAGCCATGTATAAATGATTAATTAAATTCAAATCATATTACACACCGGGATATAATTATTATTTTTGTGTAGACTAATTAAACGATTGCAACCAACATGAACAATTTATTATTATCACAGCTATCGGAGAGCTAGCGGTAAAAACAAAATAATAATAAACATATTTATGTATACCAAAACGTTTCGTAAATAACCAGAGCAAGTTTAACAAACTTCATAATATTGTCTGTCTATATAAATTCACAACTACAACGGTTTTATGGACAATAACTATCATTTGTATATTAATATGTTATCCAATGCGTTCTATAAATTAACTAGTATTAAAATGGTTTTCAATTACAGTTTGTTACCTTGAAATTCCAAACAAATGTCACCCAAATCCGTAAGGTTTATCCGATCGAAGACCAGTTTCGTTGGCGTTTAATATCACAAACATAATAATTGTAGCGCACATTTTTTAACGACTAATAATAAAATTATATAACTATACACGTAAAACTATGACTAATAAAATTGCACTTTAGGAAAATTATTTAGAGAACTTTAAGAATTGCGCGCGCGATCGACCGATCTAGGACTGTGGTGGAGACGCGGATTCTATACCTCACACTGATCGAGTGGCGGGAAACACGATCATGGCAACTGATATATGTATAGAAGGGCAGTCCTTAAGGGTGCGACGGCGGTGGCCATTAAAAAAATAACTTGCAGCTGTGCAAAGGGGATGGCCGGAGCCTCGTGGCTTCGCAAAACCGGTATAACATATATATATATATGTGGCCGATAGGGTGACGGTCCAACAGGGTTGTTATACCCAAGAAAGAAAAAAAAATGTCTACCGCATTTGCTGACCTCGTAAAAAACCCATGTGAATACTTTTTGAATTGTCCTTGATCTATACCATAAAAAGATAATATTTTTTTTTTAAATATGTGATCGGTGCTCTAATACATTTTTCATTGAGTACTTACATGGTCAACGTGTTGACGTCGTCGTCGGTCGCGAGAGGTTATCGCCGTTAAAAGACAACCTAAATATTGTCATACTCGCTTAACCTTTGTACTATATTATTATAAATAATTATAACTTAAATGATTTTGACTAACCGCAGTGTAACAGTGTGTGTGTGTGTTACACAATGACACAAAAATGTATAAATTAATTATCGTAGTCGCCGAATCGATTGCTACCGAAAATTTTAATTTGTCCATTATTACAATTACCATTAAGATAACGGTTGATCCGGTGATAAGATAAACAGTTGTTTCGGTTGTCAATATTTTCCATTGCTTCTATCGTTGGCCCCTTTGATCCAAGCAGCAGCAATAGTCTTTTATTACATGTATACATATTATACACAGTAGACGTAGGAAAGGGCGGAGCTAGTTGTTACAGTAGAGATTATTTCATCCCTTCTAGTCGTAGTGGTATTTATATTGAAACCGCCGTCAATATAATATCAAAACATTTAAAAAATAATTATGTATAACTCAAAGGGTTATATTTTCAATTTTGGAAGTTCTGTATAGTGAACAGATGATTATTTATGCCAAATGTTACGTTGTCGTATCGATTATATCCTATCGATGTCGAAAAAATATTACATCATTTGCAAATCTATAATAACATCTAGTTGACTTTCCGTTAGGTTAGGTAAGATATTCCCGATATTCAATATATATAATTATTGGATAGTATTGTTTCAATAATAATAATTTTTTATTTGTGTTATTAATATTTGATTTGCTTACAAAATATATGTAATTTTCGGCACATTTTTTGCTGCGTGGGATACATTTTAACTGGAATAATAAAAGTATAGACTTTCCCAATAATTAGCGCACTCTTAATATTGGATAAAAAAACGCTTGATTGTGTTGTTTTCTGTCGCATGCAGAGTTATCGGTCGATCGGTTCGCGTATTGAGCGTGGACTGCGCGCAAGTATGGAACAAGAAAGGGGCAAATTGGAGAAGGTAAGATTGCGTCTCACGACACCGCACGAAGAAAACGTCCCTCCGACATTAGAACGTGTTGCGTAACGACTAACGGTGCCTTACCCTACTGGAGTCACATCCAGATGGCCCTACACTCTGATATGTCAATGGGTCATACAAACGACATGGCAAACCCTCATAAAAACTAGGTCGTTAAATTGTCCCGGTCCTTTATTTCCTTCCCTGCACCACCGGAAAGGGACAGGCGTGCCTTAAACGGCCACGTCGGCCCTCGCAGTACCCGCTTCAGTGTTACTAATATTATGTAAGCGTGCTCACCTTTTTCGGTTTGTGTTGTGCGTCAAATCCAAGTCTATGTACTCCGGTCGGTTGTCGTTGCTGCTGCTGCTGCTGATCTTCCTGACCTGGAACAATGTAAACGAGCCAGGTAAGTTACACAGAATTTACACTTTGGATAACAGCTAAATAGAAATCTAGTTTCCGACGTCGCCACCAGAAGGACAAATATGTATCATGTCCTGGTGTAGCAGCGCTGAGTGTTATTGAGTTTTAGGAAATCGCCAAAAAACCTCGGTAAAAAATTCAGGATGTAACCCGACCGGTAATTTATTGCGCTCGTGGGAGTATTTTTTTAATTTAACCAGACCATATTAATAATACTGATATGTACGCCACACGTGTTTGCTAGCAATAGAGACCCAAATCTCAGGTTTAGGCCACGCTGTGAACCGCCGCCCGTTAACGCGGACCGTGAAATTTGTCTTATCGAATTACACGGTTTCCTACATGTTTGCAAACATCAGTTGCACAGTGTTTTTTTTTTTGCTCAGTAAAATGATAAGTGTCTTTTTTTTTGGCGGTCGTTCGACCTTGGATTTGAGAGGGCGGTCGTGACCGCGGTGACAACACAGTTTCTTCGCATCTTTTGTAAAGTCAAAATATTGTCGCTTCTAAGCGTACACGCACACATTACCTTGTGGCCGTGTCGAAACGATAGAAATTCCAAATAATTGCTGAAATATTAAAAAAAAAAAAATCCCCTGTACATCACGGAAATCGAATCAGCTGTAAACGGCTGTAACGGCTGTAAAGTTAATTGTCTGCGGAAAGCATAGTACAAAAAAGAAAAAGAAAATATACTACAACATCTTGTCTTATCAATGGCGTTAAGTAAATTCGTTTAGTCGTTAAAACTGCTATCACGCATACAATTATTGGAACACAGAAGTTAAGAGAGAAATATATGCAATAATATATTCCACTCGCTGTAGTTGTTTAATTTAGTCACAGACCTTAGTAGTAGGTATGTTATAATGATTCGTGGCGGGGAAATTGTTTCGAGAAAACGGGACGTCTTTTGGCCTTTGTCGCAGTCATATTATAAGACTTATGTCTGGCATTCCAACGCGGCGCGACGTCGTCTATTGCTCAATTCCGAGCGCGACCTTTTTTTAATGCGGAGAAGAAAATACCGTTGTTGAATTACGTCTGGAAAAAAACTACTTAGGGACGAAGGTTGTTTTTTTTTTTTTTTTTTGGAAATAAAAATAATGGTAAATTACGTATTTTAATTGCGGCAACGACGATTTATTTCCTTTAGCCGTGTAAAAGTACGACTCGGGCAAGGACAATATTCTCCTCTGACCTGTCGCACGCGGACCTGTACAATAAATCTGCGTGATGTATGGCCGGAAACTTCTTCGGTCACGGGCCACGAAGGGGAAGTGTGAGTGTATATACTTTGCTACCGAATATTCTTTTTTTTTCTCCTCTATTATACGCCCAAACGCACACCGACGGAATAGTCACGAACTTTGCACAAGTATTCACAGAGGTGAAAAAAGTATATGTTATATTTAAATAAACAAAATAAAACGAACATAATATATCCAAAGTCGGCGGCGGTGCGCAAGCTGTCGCATACACACCCTGAACAATATAAATAATAATAATTAAAAACGAATGTTCTACATCTAAAAAAATTGCATACAACCGGGACATGCACCGGAAAAAAATATACAGTTGGTCCAACTAAAATTATGGTTAATTTAGGGACACAATTCATTTTTAGTTGGAATAACTTAATAAATAGTTGGCCAAAATAAACATTTAGTTGGACCAACTATGTATTTTTTCCCGTGCACGTTTATGAGTGAGTATACATTGATATAATAGTAGTAGCTGTTGCCCTTGTCTCGTTTTTATTATGATTATAATTATGTTAAGTGGGCTTTGTGGAAGCGTCGAGATTATACTTAACATGCGGTAATTCGCCGGCAGCCGGGTTTTTGAACTTGGGGTGTTTTAATATTTATCAGCAATCAGAGGCGCCCACTTGTTGCTGCACGCTGTTTCTGCAGCCTGTATGGACTCGTTTTATTACTATTATTATTATTATGTTATATTTCTCGTTGAAACGCTCTTTTCTCATTTCCCGTACACGCAGATCCCATTGCTTCTCGCAAGTTTCAATCGAAATCACTTTTTAAATTTTAACCGTCATAATATATCATTTGTTTAGTTGAACGAGTTTTAAATTCAACCCGTATTAATTAGTTGCCGAGTCATAATATATGACTTTAAAGCACACGGATGAATTTGTTTAAAGTTATTTTCCAGTTTGAGTTTATTAGCCGTCAGTCTAGTTAAGGTACAAAGAAAGAAATAAAAACTAACACACATGCCGAATAATTGTGGACCATGTTTAATTAAAAATGAAAAATTGTACGACTTAATCGTTATAGCTTAGTGTAGTGAATAAATATAGAATAAACCAAGACCAAGACGACTTTGTGTAACCGATAATATTCTATGTAAAGAAAATTAAACTGGTTCGCCAATAGGTATTACAATATTCGTATGACGTGAAGAAAAAGTCAGCAGTAAGCACACAACCACACGGTTTCTGATAGTAAATGCGATCATATACCTAAATGCGAAATGTCACGTTTTCAGACTTTGGCCCGATTCAACAAGCGAGACTCTTCTTATCGGCATCTTAAGGTATAACGTGCGGAGGGGCGAAACAATTAAAACAGATTCCATTAAACCCGCGGCCAAGAGGCGCAACGCAATTATATTATTTACCTACCTACCTACCTACCTACTATTCGCAGACAGCTCGCAGGCAAATAATATATTACATCGTATATATGTAACATTTATTATTTTGAAAATAAATTCGGCACTGGCGGTGGCTTTTGCCGAGCCCAAAAAACTAATTTATTTTCCCTCGGTACCCTCCCTTCACCCCTTCGTCCTCTCCCTCCAACCGCTTAAACCGACCGCCGCGTTGGTTTTCTTTAATTCATGAACGCGCCCGCACCGTCAGAGAGCTATTTGTCTGTGACGACATATACACGAGTTGCAGAGGGGGTGATGTAATCTACCCCTAACGGGAGGGGTAACATTTATCTCTGCCTGCCGTCGCGGTCCTTAATGCGTATTCCATGCAAATGTGTTTTTCGCCTCGGCACCGCACCGAATTTTTCGGAAAAAGCGCACTTACGCCGAAACCGATCGGCGTCCCGCCGGGTAAAAATAAAATAAATTCGAGGGGGGGGGGGGGTGTTGGTTGGTAAGGAACGCTCTGTGTAGTAAATCTCCGGCCCAGCCGTTGATTCATTGGCCGCCACCGAGGAGAAAACCGATGGCGTCGGTTCAAAGGGAGTTCATCAATCTCGCGCGCCGTCCAAGAGATAGCGGTTTTCTTGTATTTATTGCGCACCGAACTGCCGACACGTCGGCCGGCTCCGATGCCTGCTCAACAGGTTTCGGTTAACGTTAATTCAGTAGGTATATATGCAAACGAAAACTTATAACAAAGTACATTAATCTCGTATTATGGGGAAAGTGTATGCTCAATCTAGAACAAACGTAATGAAAATTGTTGAAATGAGGGAGTATTGTGATATACGCATACAGCAAGGGCAGGTGATCTAGAAATGAAAAAAGGGACGGCAAGAAAAAATCAATTCACTTAAAATACATGTATTAGGCATAGGTTATGTGTTTACATAGCAAACATAGCAAATACATTATGGTTTAAAAAAAAAATACACTTTAAATGCATACAATTTAAGTACATAAAGAAGGGACTTCCCCCTTATACCCGCCCCTGCTATACGGCAAATGTATATGTATAAGAGTACTGCAAAATTATTTGAGTAAAACAATTATCCAAAAACACTGAAACGACGAATATTACCGAAAACCTACAGAATAATTTTTTATTGTCGATTTAAAATATTGGATTTCTTTTACTTTAGAGTTATACAAATATAATATAATACGCTTTCTTTAGGGTGAGTATTTGTTTTTGTTTCGTTTGGTTTCTTTTTTATCCGTAAAACCGGAATATCCTATCGTATATCATTCGACCGCGGGCACCGGTATAATATTATTCTTGTAGATTTATATTACACGAGAAAAAAATAACCTACACCGAATATAAATAAATAAAAAAAAATGTCTTCACCATAAACGATTTATTAGGGTATTATATTTTTTCTCGTGAACGAGGCCTAATATTTCTTCGGCTATATAATAATATATATAATAGGTATATACGTATATATAAGTATATACACGGGGTACCGCCCATAAGTAGATGTAAGGGAGTGGACGCCAAAAAAATGCCCAGTAGTTCTATCGAAGGTTCCAAAAAATTACAAAAAAAGGATGAGTTCGCCAGAGTACGTCGTGGTATAGAGTACTTGGGTATTCTGACAAAAAATAAAATAAAAATGTTCTATATATTATGCACGCGTGACAAATATCTCAAATGTGTAGATATATACTAGGAAAAGGGTGTAAAAATATAAAAAAATGTCACCCGAGGAGAATAAAAAACGGCAGGACGGAACAGGATAAAAAAAAAACCAGTCACAAATCATCCTCTGCTGTCTCTTCGGGCATCGGTCGCCGCAGTTTTATTATGTATGCAAATATCCCAAAACAAGCAGCACCCTTTTGCTTGTGAACTCAGACCGTGCCAAACGCTCCCCGGTCGTAAATCACCACAAGCTGCCATGTCTCTTACAGGGACACCGGGTCCTTTCACCCCTCCTCTTTGCCCCAAAATAAGAGAATTATACCACCCCTCGCCTTCATCGTTTTCGGTTTTTACACAAAATTTTCCTTTTTCTTACATTTCACAATTACACGATATCGGTTGTTTAAACACTTTTCTCGCTGTCGGCGCAACCGCTCACACGTGAGAATTTTAAAAGAAAATCACTATTTTTCATACAGCTAATTCTTGTTTGCACGATTTGGACACTAAAAATGTAAAATTCTAACCGACGGGTTAAGTTAACCGAATAAAAAAGAACCCCCAAAAACCAGTACTTAATAACGGATTCCCTTTAAACAAAAAAAATATATATATTATTTTGAACCTTAA